AGTGGGAGTTCCGAGTTTCCCCAGATAAATACACTATTTTCCGGCAAATTTCTTTCTAATTGCTTTTTCGTTCTGTTTCTTACGGTTTTTTTTTTTTTTAAGTTTTGTACCGAGGGAGGGAGACTGCTCCGGGACTTTGTATAGAGCAGTTGGTGTATTTAACAACAGAATTCTGGAGTCTCCTGAGAATTTTGTAGTTTTTGTTCAGATTTAAAGGGTGAGGAGAATTTTGTAGGTTTTGTTCAGATTTAAAGGGATGAGATTCATCCTTGTCATACTACACATTTTTCATTGTGTTGTCAATATATTCTTTAGCGTTTTCATTGCTTATTTTTGTTGGAAAATGCCACTCTGGCATAAAAATCTGGGCAGATTCTTTGACAGAAGACTGTGGCGGGATGTGATCGGATGTAAAAGTTGATTGTGTTTTAAACAGTTCAATCATAAAATATTACTATGTCAACCATTATATCAAGAATTGTGTCACTGTAATATGATTCTATTTTATTTGATGTGAGTTTGATTAAACTTGATGGTCGATTTTATTTGATTTTATGTGAATGCGACTTGACTTGGGGTCAGTTGTAACTCGAATACGATAATTCATTTTTTTTACCAATTCATTTCGACAGATGTTGTGATAATATTGTAAACGAAAAAAATTAAAGTTTCATGAACATAATAGTGAAAAATTCAATACTATTTTAGGAGTTTAAATTAAACATATTATAGTAAATAATAGATAAAGCTGTATTATTCTGTCTCGTTTTATTTAAGAAAGATTAAAAAAAAAAAATTCGGATAAAAGATGCATTTTTAAATACATATCTAAATGTAATAATTATAAATCAAATTATCCAAAAATCTAAAAAATTGCATTCAGTACATTCTTCTCTATAACTTGAATAAATTTACCGCCCAGCGACCCGCTCTCTCTCTCTCTCTCTCACTCTCCCCCCGTTCGCACATTCTTCTCTATAACTTGAATAAAGCATCGATCTTTCTATTTAGTCTCCATAAAAATATAGCTATGTGATTAAAAAGTGTCGAAAGGAAATATTTTCTTTTATTATACCTGCTGTTTTTCTTAAACAATTGCAGCATTTTAATTGCTGTAACAAGCCTGTTTATAGGATTAATTTCATCAGATTATGATTTTGCAAAATTCTCGATCTAGTAAGTAGGTAGTTTGAATCATTATCGGTTTAACTTTGGTCCCATTTTTGTTCTAAACAAGAATGAGGGAAATTGTGACAGTACAAGTTGGAAGCTACGCAAACTTCATTGGCTCTCACTTCTGGAATTTCCAGGTGAGAAGAATTTACATTACATATGTTTACTTATGCCTGCTGTTTTTAGAGCTGCGGCCAAGACAGTTGTAATTTTTTATTTTTAATTTAATTATACTGGGTTGTTTCTGTAAAGCTTCAAAAGTTATGAATAAGTAGGCAAATTAAGAGGATTATCTCATTTTTCAGAAGGGTCTTTAATGATTTTCGAATAATATCTGGTTTTTGTTGGATTGTTAGAACTTCTGTTGAAGTCCAGCTATTTGAAATAGTGTTTTGTCTTTGGTTAAATTATCTAATCCACTTGCATTTCATTGGTGAGATATATTTCGTATTTTTAACGTTTTAGGATGAAATGCTTGGGTTGGGTGATAACCCGGTGAGTGACGAAATATTTGAAAATCATAGCCTCGACATGAATGTCCATTGTCCTCTACCGTAGCGGTGAGACTCATTAGGTAATTTCATTTGCAATTGTACCTCAGTGGAGTAATTGACATGTTCTGTTGTCACTTTATGAAATTTTAAACCTTCTATAACTTTAAAACCTAATTGCTTTACTGTCGAAATCTTCCACGTCAAATCACCAAGAAAATTAATAATGCGGATTGCGGAACATACCTTATTTCTACGAAAATGATTCTTTATTACTAGATCTTGATTCCGGATCTTGAATTTTGATTATTGGCTCTTTTATTTCTTGAGTTCTTCATCTTGATTTTGGTTTCTTACTCCATAATCTTGATTGTCTTGTTCTTCAATTTAATTGTTCAAATCCTTCTTCTTGATTCTTGATTGTAATTTTTGACTTCTTTAATCCTTGATCATGATTGTGGGTTTTTGATCTTCCTTTTCAATATTCTTTCTCTTGTATTCTTGTGTTGGTGGAATGACACAAAGAGTGAGAAGTTACATATGAATTAGGGACCATAACCCTATATATATCCATAAATATTTCGCCCATTATGAAATACAATTCTAAAAGAATCTGGTCTCTACACATATAATATGTCACACATTTTATTTAGATACCTTAAGCCCAACAATTAATTCTTTATTAGATCACTTTAATTAGGATCAACTTTAAGATAACGTTATACACAATTAATTACATATGTAGGTCCACATGACAAATTAATAACCCAACATGTTCCTGTTTCTGAATTTAGAGTACTTGCTTGATCTTCCTTTACCTGTAATTTCAAGTGCAAATTGTGATAGGTGTTTATCACATTCAGGGTATTCCTTCATATACTCCTCGTTTGTTTTCTGTTGATTTTCAAGCTATGTAAATTTTGATGCTGATCCACCATGCCAAGCTTCTTTTATGGCCTATGAGTTCACTTACATTCTAATTGAAGTATTGAACTGATGTTACTGTTATTATCTGGATCAATTTATCAACATAAAGTCAATGAAAAAATCATTAAGTTGTGATGAAAACAATACCAGTGACTCAAATTATGCTAATGATAATGAAAACGATACTTCTATGTCAAATCATTTTATTTGAATTAAAGTCAATCCCAAACTCTGGGATGGACTGCTGCTTTACAATCTTGATTACCAGTTATGTCTAGTCATTGAAATTGAAATTCTATCATAATTTGAGAAAATAATAATTTTAATGAGATGCTTGAGCTCTACCAGGAAGAGGAAAGTAGTGATAAAGCAAATGAAAATCATTAAGGTGAGGTCGAAATTCAGATTCGATGAAGACCTTTGGAGGCTGCTGTTATGAGTTATCAGAAAATGAGGAGGGAAAAAGGAACAATGGGAAAGGAGAAGAGTTAGTTTACACATGTACTTTTAGCAATGTGCTGGTTTTTAGATTTTTTTTATACTTAATAGTCTTTGAGGAATGTATGGTTAATTCTTTACTTATATTCTTGTTATTAATGTTTGCTATTTTCTGGAAATGGATTGGTTTCATTTTTATAAATGGGTTGAGTCCTCTTCGTTGCTCTCATCTACCAAACTTGAACCGAAAAGATAAATTGGATATTTGAATCTCAGTTATATTGTGAGCTTTTGTTCTATAGAATATTAGCTTTTTGGGGTGGCCTGTTGGGTGGTGTTAAAGGATTATAAGGTTCTCCAGAAAGTTGGTGAACTACTTTATATGGTAGTGAAGATGGTATCTTCAGGCTGATTGGCAAATGCTGTTGTCATGCTCCTACACTTCATTTTTTACCTTTTTTTCAATCTTGTAAAATTCGTATCGATCTAGTTTATAGACAATATCCGTCATTTGAAAGGCACTAAAGCCCCTGTTTGACAACCATTAAAAGATTTTTTTCTTTGGAAAAAATGATTTTTTAAATAGTGAATTTTTGGAGAATGTGTGGTTAAAAAATAGGAAAAAGTTTTGGATTTACGTGTAGAATATTTTATTGTGAGAATGTGTGATTAGAAATGAATTTGAGAAAAAAAAAGGAGTTTTGTTTTAATGGTTGTCAAACAGGGGCAAAATTAAAAGCTCTACATGTTATTGTCTTGTACTTTAAAATGATTACTCTTAACTGAAGGATAACTAATTATGTTTTTCTTCTATCAAAACTATGTATTGATGTATAAATTTTGTCAGGATCGCTAGGATCTGTGAGCTCACATGGAACTTTGTACAATGAAGCCCCACCAGGATGTGTTTCAACATAGTAATACTTTATTTATTTATTTTGTTTTCACAGTTGATGATAGTCATTTTCTTTAGAAGGTGGTTAAGAAGTAATTCAAGGATTCATGACTCAGTCATATTGATGCTCAAAACATTTCATATTTTCTGCATGGGGTTATATTTGTGTTCCCCTTGGTGTTGATATTCTGCTTACAATTGCTACCTTGATTTGCAATAACACTGCCAGATTGGTTTTTTTTCTAATTTTTGTTTTTATATTTCCTTTTTTCATTGTCTCTTCTAGTTCATCTTTAATGAGCTGAGTGTACTAATACTAATGTTAAATGTATAGTTTTCTAATTTACCATTTTATTTTTCCTTTAACTTTCTGTAGAGAACTTAAATTTCAATCAGTGCAATGAACAGTTCTTGTTGTGGCCTACAACTTCTGTTCTGTAGTTTCCCAACCTATAGGCTACTATAACTTTAGTGGTATGTTTTGAACCTTTGAGTGAGGATTCTTGGGGTTTTAGGAACATTTTCAGCTTCGTATCTAGAAATTTTCCACTCATAGGGAGCTCTTCGCCGTTTTGGATTGTTTAAAAAAAAAATTTAGAATCTTTTTCTGAAATAATCATTAGCTTACTTTTGGTCAGTATGGAGGAAACTTGCTTATATTTAGCTTGTTATTTTTACAGTTATCCCATTGTCATCTCTTTCTTTGGAGGAGGCAGTTAGCAATCCCTCATTATTTCGGACTCTGTTTATTTTTGGCTTCTTGGCAGTATGTTGATAACTAGAATACACAAGAAAATTACATGGAACTTTGGAGTTTGCATTATCTAATTGTAAATGTTTTTTATGACCCTGGATGGATGTTAGACCTCTAACTATAGGTCTTGTTGTGGAATATTGGTGGAGTATGTGCATTTTTATTTTCCAGTGTACTCCATAAAATGCACAATTAAAGACATGATTGCTACTTTCCTTATGCTTTGGATGTGCTAATTGTGCTTTCTTGTTATGTGGCATGTAGAGACCATTCCTTTTGCCATCTGATTTGGCATTTATATGAATTGAATGTCTCCAGATCAATGTGTAGGACTGGTGGTGTCACAACTCGTTCATCTGAGCCTTCGAAGAAGAACTTGTTCTTAGAAAGTTTGAACTTGGAAGATGTAGACATGCGCAATACTAGTTCTGATAGTGGGAAGAATGGTTCTAGTTGCGAAATTCAAGATAAGACATTGTTGAATGTCTGGAACATGGAGTTCAATATTGGACAGACTTCTCAAAAGTTCATTATCACCCACAGAGTTTGTACGAGTTAAGTGGATTGTGGATGGACATTGAGGATTTTAACAATTGTGGAGTCGGAAGAGATGCATTTTCAGGGGGTCTACGTGGAGATGAAATTAGTGAAAGGCTTCGTTTTTTATTGAAGAATGTGATCGCGTTCAGGTACTTCTTCCTCATTTATGTTCGGCCCCACTGATGAAATTTCTTATTATTTTTCTTATTTTGACAGAGAATCCCATTTGTAGTTGATGATGCTGGAGGATTTTCAGGTGTAGTGGGGAGTTTTTGGAGAATGTTGCAGATGAGTATGTAAATATCCCTGTGCTCCTGTACAGTGTCCACAGCCCTGATACTTCCATAGATCCCAAAAGCAGGAAGCGGACAATCACCCGCAACCTTCATGATGCAGTTTCATTTTCAAGGCTATCAGCTTTCTGTAAATTGGTCATCCAAGTTGGTTTGCCATCCCTCAGTAGAAGTAAGCACTAACAACACGTGCGCAATTTTGACTGTTTTCCATTTTCAGTATATTGAAAGGATTATTTGGGCAACTGACATAGATTCATAACCTTCTTGTAAATGTCTATGCTTAGAATGAATAACAGATGGCTTGAATGCTTGAGCTAAAATCTAAAGATAAAAACAAACAATTTTGAGGTCTCAACTGACGAAACTGTGATGTGAACGGTCTTATGCTGCTATTTGTATGAAATTTGATCTTAGATTATCTATATTTATATATCATGTATTTGAAAGATAATAGATAGTAGACTGCTCAAAATATTAATATCATATGACAAAACAACTTAATTCCAATTTTTCATTCTTATCCACAGTATACCCACACAGACTGTTTTTTGCTGTTTACTGGGCAGAATATTTTCATCCTAGTTTCCATGAAAATATCTGCATATATGGTGTTCAATACTTTCCTATTTTCTGTTCTTCATTATTTTCCTAACAGACTCAAAAAGAACTTATTTATTTTATGAAAGTAGAACTTCCTTGTTTCTTTGTATGAAATGCCTTACCACACCAGTGCAGTTTATGCATGTGCAATACACTCCATCAGTCTCCCTTTTAGAATGGAACAACTAGGGCCCAGTTCACAATCAAGCTACACATGTGGTGCCATGGCTGTCAATGACCTTGTACAGATGCTAGCAGGCCAAGCTCGGCAGAATATGATTAGCATTTTGGATTTATCTATGCCAGCACCTACTTTCACAGGTAGAATGTTCGCCGCTCTCTCTCTCTCTTGTTCCTTTGCAACGGGAACCAAGTTTTGTTTTTTCCAAAGTGTCTTAACTATTTAACTAGGGTATCTGGTGGCCGGTGCAACAATCTTTGCTGGAGAATTTGCTCCCATTGACCCCAGAGGTAGCAGAAGATGTTGAAGACTTTCAAGCAGTGGAATCCATGACAGTTCATGGAGTCTATAGAGCAGGTAAAGCTTATTGTCTTCTGCATTTTGCCATCTACTTGAATATTCATTTCCATTTTACTGTCTTCGTGTTCTAATTTCCTGTGAACACTGAATGTGTCTCAAGAGGTTCATTCTTTGGCTGTGGTTCTCATTTTTAATCCTAGTTTCACCAAGAAATGTCATGTAAATATTTGTTTAGAATGAATTGAAATATTGGCTTCATGATCGAATATCCGCATTTTGTTTTGTTTTTATTTTTATATTCAGGACGCCAACGGGCCTCAATTACTAAAGTTAAGGATGCAGAGGAGGTTTTGGGAAGGATGAACTTGAAGACATTGGCGACACGCTGTCTAAAATGGTTACGACATTGAATCCTTGTTCTGAAGAGTCGTCAGATTCTGATTAAGGTTTGGAGGACAATAACTCTGATCATGTATTCTGAACAAAGATCACTTCCACTTTCCTTTTCACCATTGAATGAATGCCCAATTTTGAACATCAATTTTTACCAAGCACAACAAATTCATGGTCCAGTGTTAGCAGATGACAACCTTTTCTTCTTGTCTGAACTAACGACAAATTTAGAGTCGACTACACGATATATGGTTAAGATCTAACATCATGATGTAAATTTTGATTTCATTAGGATATCAAACTCGACTAATTACACTTCTTTTTTAAGGACACCATCATTGGGTAAACATTCATTCCCAAGAACTGTATTTCTAACTAAAAACTCCTAAACATTAACATGGGCTCTTAGCTAACAAGAAAAAAAATTGCGGGATCATCAGATTTTCTTGTTCAAGAGCACCCCACCCCACCCCATATACATGCATTCTGATCGTATCTACATTCTTTCAAGCAAAAACAGCACCACAAGACAGAGCCATTAAAAGCAGAGCAGCCCTTTCTACCTCACCCCACTCCCTTGGACTCCTCTGCTTCTTCATTGCTGACCTCTGCCTCTGCCTCTTCATTGCTGACTTCTGCCTCTGCCTCTGCAAATATAACACTTCCTTCCCCAATGGCATCAAATTTACTTTCAAGACATCGTTTGATTTTCTAATTTTACCCTTTTTTCCACCATTCTTGGTGGTGGAAGTGGTGGCTGCTACTGCTACTGCGGCGGCTGCCACGGAGGTGGAGATAGTGGTGGGATTATCCTTTTTCCTCTCTCGGCCTTTAGACCTGTCCGATCCCACAAAGGGACTCCTTTTCTTTCTGTGTCTAATGCCACAAGCATTACACAGTGACTGAACCAAAAAAGGCAAGAAAACTTAAGCTTAAAATCAAGTGACCCATATCAAAAAATGCTAAAAATTAATCAATTACAGTGTAATCAACCTTGGGGCCAGAAGGACCACTCCTCCACAAAGGGGTTTTAGTGGTCTTACAATCAGCACAGAATTTCTTGAACTCGACCTCGATCAAACCGTCAGATGATGAAGACTCTTCCTACGAATCAAAATAAACCAAAAATCTATGTAAAAACACGGTATAATCAGTTAAAATTGACAAATATTAAATTCCAGCCGCACCTTTTGACTACAATCCATGAAGTTGGCTCTATCTCAAAGAAAATCCGTTAAGATTTCTTGTTCTTTTTCTCGTGTAATTAATCCAAAGATACTGAAAAGGTCAAAAGTGCTAAAATCTCATAGAGTGAACAGCTTTCTGTAGATGATCACTCGATTTTCACGAAAAGAAGATTCAAGAATTGTGGGATTTTTGTTGAAAGAGAGTGAAAACAGATAAAACCCATCTACCAAAACACACAACGGAATCAAGAATCATAAAAGTTTTGTGAAAACAGAGGAAAATTCGACAAAACCTACGTACCAAAACACACACACAACAATGAACTGAAAATTTTCAGCCGTGACATGAATGATCAGAGAGGTAGAACCGACAATCAATAGCGGCTTCGTACAGATGTAGACCTATGTGACGTGTGAAATGACAGAAAAGGACACGAATAGACACGATGCCCGCCAAAAACTGTAAGACGGGGCCCGCGTGATCAACGTGTCAGCTTGCATGACGGGAAGATTTTTATTGTATTTTTTATAGATGCAAAGAAATTTAGTTGTTTTTACATATTGGTCCCTAACCTTTTGTAATAATGACACTCGTAACCCCAATCTTTTAAATTTGTGGCATTTATATCCCAAGTAAAAGAATACGTTTATTTGAAGCAAGGTTTTAAAATCCATACCAACCTTCCGGTTCAACCGAAAATCCCCTGACTCGATAGTTTACATAAAAAAACTACTGATCGAAACCCATTAATCAGCGTCATCGCTAATTTAATTTGTCAAATTTTATTTAACATTTGAATAGCGACCTACCAATTTAAGCTTCTTTTTCACTTTTTTTAAGTTCTAACCTTTGCTTGGTTAAATATCTCAATTGTAATTGAAATTTCTTAAATGTTTTCATTTGTCATTGAACTTTGAAATCTGTTCTTTAAGTTACCACTCGATGAAAAGAATTTTAAAAGTTCTTTAAGTTGTCACTAAATTTATTAAAATATTATCATATCTGTTAATTCATCACACGTCATTTCAAAAGCTAACAAACCAGATGACATGATGGATGTAACGATTTTGGGATAAAATTTTGATCCATAAACTATCGGATTTTTATATGAAAGTTGAAGAAACCCGTTTAATTGTTTGGAACAAATGAAATTACTTTGGACAAGTTTACCCTTTTACTCCGACATTACATTGTCAATTAATGTTCAAATAAACGTTTTCAGCTAGACGTAGACATTGGGGAGACAGTTTTAAAAGATTAGGAATAAGCATGCTTGTTGTGTGTATGTGTATGTGTGTATATATATATATATATATAGTACTTTGAAAACATGAGTTACATAGGAAAGCTTGGGGACCCGGATGGAATTTTACTCTTTTGCGGATTAGTTAAGTGGAATGTTTTTATATGACATTAAGGGACTGTTCGGTGCAGCTTAAAATCTAATTAAAATTGAAAATATGGCCGTTATTGGGTCCCACTCGTCTAATAAAAGTCAACAATAGCGATTAATTTTTCAATTTTAATCCAATTTTAATCTCTACCGAACACGCCCTAAATACAATTGAAGTAATTTTATATTGTATTAAAGAATATTATATTATACACTAACTTTTGCCGCTTAAGAATTTCTCAACATTATAATGATTTGCCCTTGTTTGGGCTCCATTAAAAATTCATTTTGGTCAAAAATATATTTTAAATAGTAATATTTTGGAGAATTAATGATTAAAAAGTAATGAAAAATTTTGGATTTAAGTGTAATATTATTTTATTGAAAAATGCGTGATTGAAATTGAGAAAAAGAAAAATATATTTTTGAAAAATGGAAGGGGAAAGAGGGGCTTAATAATTTTAACCCTATGTGACAAATTATATATTAATTATTAATAATCATTTCAATAATCGAGTGAACGATATGTTGAACAAGACACGACTTGATCAAAGGAAGATAAGCCCATAATGAATTTGTCCCTATTATGTTAGGTTGAAATAAATAAGATCCAACCATTGGGTCGATTTGTTTAAAGTTTGTTTGATACACATTATTTTTAAAGAATGAATTTTAGAACGATAGATTCATAGAGAATGTGTAGTTAAAAAAATAAGGAAAAATTTTGGATTTGTGTACAATATTATTTTAGTAAAAAATGTGTGGTTAAAGGAAGAAAAAGAAAATGAATTTTGAAAATAATGTGTATCAAACAGGGGATTAATGTGCCCTTGTCGGCCCGCCTCAAATATTAATGATTGTGGAAATTACACTAAACCAACTGTTTAGTTTTGACTTNATGACTCGCTGAAATAGAGTTGTGACCCGTAAAAGTTTTGAATTATTTTAATCTGTGACCTATAAAAAATTACATGTGACCTTAAAATTCTTGATTTGTGACATGCGAAGTTAACTGTGACCTATAATTTTTTTATCAGTTTTGATCTGTGACCTCGAAATATTCTGTGACCCACCTCCATATATCTGTGACCTTAACAATTGTCGAAATCGGAGCAGTCGCCGGAATTCAGTGCGGCCGGAGAACAGTCGTCGGAGCAATGGGGGTGGTGGAGATGTAGTTTGGTGGGGTGGGGTTAATTATATTATATTATAGTTAAATATTTAATTTAATATAATAATTGTGAAATATAATTAATTAATTTTAAAAAAATCTGATTTTTGCAATTTTAAACATTGGGACCTGATTATTGATTTCCTAAAAGTAAATCCCTGAACCATGAATTTTTCCCTTAATGATTCAACTCATCATTCTGCATTTTTCTCTGCTCATCAGCCACTATTTGAGCCCATCTCTTTGAAAACTTATTTTCAATTACTCATTCTTTCAATAAAAAATAGACTAAGCCCTTGAGCCCAATTTTTAGGCAAAAAAATACATTTTTGAATAGTAATTTATTAGAGATTGTGTGTTTAAAAAGTAAAGAAAATTTTTCGATTCACTTGTAATATTATTTTTGTGTGGTTGAAAATGAGTTTTTAAAAAATAAGGGGTTGTTCTTTGTATTTTAGTTTTGAGTGTCTATTTTGAAATTGTTGAAAATGTGTTCTTTATGGCATTTTAAAAAATTATTTTAAACACACTCAAAACCCGTTTTGAAAATTCTGACTTGATTATTACTGAAAACACCCAAAACAACAAATTTATTGTTTTTGATTTTCTTTGCAAATTGTTAACTTATTTTCAAAAACGCGTTTTCGAAAATAGGAAAGAGAATGCGTTTTCACTATTATGAAAAATCGAAAACAAAAAACAGCTTAAAAATGGTAAAGAGAACAAGTCCTAATTTTTTTAAAAAATGACACCCCCTTCTCACAACAAAGGAAAGAGGAGAAAGAACAATAAGTATATTAACACCACAATTTTTAATATTTGCCCCCATATTTAAATTGTAATGGAGGTCTATTATCTCTGATCACCATTTTTGTCTAGAATTTTTTTTCCTAACATGCATTGAAATTAGGGATAATTATTTTGTCGAACTTTTATTTTGCTTATTTAAAATATGAGAAAATGAATGAACCTCATAATAAATTTTATGGACCAAAAACTTCATTATAGACAACAAGTGAAAATTAAAAGAAAGTTTGAGATTGTAGTGAAAAAAAATTAAAAATGTTAGTGCAAAAATGAACATAGATTGATGACATCAATGCGAATAAAATGTGGTGTACAAAATTGTAGTTTGAAAATAATTAATCTAAAAAATCTTACATATAAGTCCAAAACTTTTGTCTACTTTCCAACCACATTCTTGAAAAATATCACCATTTCAAAATCTATCAACCCAAAACATAAGGCTCAAACAAACCCTTATTATCCACCCATTTCCTGATCTCACTACCATTCCGCCTAAAAAATTTCTAAAAAGTCATGACCCTAACATTGTGAAATGTTAAGAAAAACGCTGCGGCAAAGGCATTCTTAGCACCATGAGAAAAGGTAATAAATAAGCTGGGTAAACAAATTTTTGGGAGGGTCAAAATCACCCATCAATAGGTCAAAAACAAGGAAAAGTTTTAGGATACAAATTACTCAGGACAATGGACAAAACAAACATCTTAGTAACAAATTCTGTTTATGAATTAAGAAGCCAACAAGTCGGTCCAACCTTCATTTGAAACTGAATCCACCAGAAGGCACAGAGACATCTCCACCTCCAAACTGGAATCCTTGTTGGGAGGCATCTCCTGGGGGTGCCGGTTCATCATCTTCCTCGTCCGCCCAGTATGTTTCCAAAATCTTTACTGCCTTCTCGTAAATCTCATTATTATCATGACTCTGCAGGTTTTCGATTTTTTCCAGGCCTTCAGCATCATCAATCATCTGAGCGTAAAGGTTGACATCTCCTGTATGTCCCAAATTCTTCTCAGCTTCTCCTACCTTCAAAATGTTTTCGAGTCCTTCCAAACACACTGTAACGATTCTTGGATCAGGGCAGACAAGCAGATCACATAGCGGCTTAATACACTGTTGACTCACAAGATACCTGATCAAAACAAAATATGAGTGCTGTTAAACAAGTAAAATACTAATGCATCTTGAAATATTAAGAAACTAAGGGAAAATTGAGCACACACTTAATTTGTTCGTGAGTGCCACCGGACGTTGCATTTGATATTGCCCAGGCAGCCTCCTTTTTCACATCAAATTCTGCATTTAGAAGCAAATGAACTAGAGGACCAAAAATGTTGGCCTCAATCACAGCCTGCAGAGTTACATAAATATGTCACTCAGAAGGTATGATATTAAGAATATGAAAGTACACACAAGGACACTTGGTCTGAATGAATTTGGGGTCAGCTACATGAATCCCCGAAAGGTTCTTCAAAAACATGAATAAATCAAGATGATATATCTTTCCCATACAAAGGCTGAATGCTAGAATCAAAATTTACCTGAATTTGCTCCTTGTTTCCAGCTGTGATGTTCGAAATAGTCCAGCAAGCTTCCTTTTTTATGCTCTTCTTATGGCTACCAGTCAAGAGGTTCATAAGACAGGGAAGTGCATTATAGCTGATGATATACTGTAAAAGATACGAGAATCATCAGTCATCGCAGATTACAATCAATCAAAATTACCAAGCATAATGATCTACAAGGATCTGTTGTGACTTCACAAAAAAAAAAACACCAAAATTCAAGCAGAAAGCAGACACACTGACCGCAACTCAACAGAAAATATACCTTCATACAAAGGATCCTTTGATAGTTTTAAACAAGATAAAGTTATGTGATGCAGCTAAAGTTAAGTTCATATAAGGAACATTACCGACCGGAACAACATAACTAAATGCCTTGTTTCCCAATGCCCTTAGCCCAATATCAATTATTTTGCCCATCCCAGAGATTTTCCTGATTAGGAAATAACGTCAATGATATATTTTGTTAACATTAGACACGTTAATCACTAGCAAAAAATATGTAAGTACCAAACTGTTGTGCCATCATTTATATTCTGAAACTAAAAACATTATCACAAAAGGCGCATGCCTTGTTCACCAGCAGTTTTAACTACATGACAAAACCAAGTGCTTAGAAAATTGTTTTTATGCACACGACATTCGCTCATTTAAATCCTATACTATCTCCACCTTACTCACTCTTAGTAGTGACCCAATCAATAATGAACCCACATTAGCTTGTCATGGGATCATCTAGGATTGTACAACTCACATTTAACACTTATAAACATGAGCCAAACGTAGGCTTAACAAACTTTCTCTAGTTTATTTTCTAAAGATGTAATCATTTTGTATTGCATGTGTTGTCAAGCCTCCTTATCATCTTCAATTACCATCATTCTCATATATTGAATGCATCCACTAGCAGCTTACTACACAATAAGTTCATAACATATATGCATGACCAAACCGTAACAAGCCTTGTGAAAATACAATATTATTTAGGAAGCTGACTTCATGAAAATTAGGGTCTTATGCTTTCCTGCTAAAGCTGCAATCCTTCCGACATAGAAAGCAAGCGGAGACCATTTGAATATCTGTGGTGATATACGACTTTCCATTGAAAATCAAATATGTTGACTAACTTTATTCAGAAAGGATTCAAAAGTCCCCACATTTTACCTAGCTTGTGAGAATCCAAACAAGAACCCAAAAGAAAACAAAGAAATGCAAGATCAGAGAGTCAATGTAAGAAGCGGGGCATGAACCCTCTTCCCGCCCCACCAAGAGGGTAGATTCAGGGTCATTAGAGGATCTTCCTCTATAATTAATGGTTTTACAAGTTAATGCTGTGGTTTTTAATACCGCTGGTCTTGCCTGAAATCTCGGTGTTGATTGAAGGAAGGTGGCCATGGCTTGGGGAGAGAGATGCATTTTCTTGAGTCGCTGCTTGCTCATACGGAGCCTTCCAATCCTCAAAGTTTATCGGTTTTCAATGGCAAAGACCACAGGTTTAGACTCCAAGGTTCATGTTTTTGGAAAATCATTCCTCATTCCAGGTACCAATGAACAATTCGTACTCCGAGATAGGTATGAACGAATAGTTCTTACTCTGAGAGAGTTTTTGATTGAGGATAAGTTATCATAAAAATTGAATTGTAGCAAGGTAAGTTAAATTGTAGTTGTCAGGCCCGACCCGAACACTAACCCGGATAAACGGATTGGTCAATTCCTGTTAAGTATATTATTAATTATTTTCATTTAATAATAATAGTTTAACATCTTCTCCCACTAATTAAATTACTAAACTTAAACTGATTTCTGTAAGACATTAAGTCTTTAACTACTTCTTTGGACATTTTCTTCTATTAATGTAATGCTATCTTTACATCCTATAATATGAACTATAAAGGATGGACAGAGACATCTGAATAATTATTTTAACACAAGGCACCAACATTAGGTATTAAATCCACAAAAAAATGCAATCAAATTTGGAAGCAGAAATGCGGATACAATTATTTGACTAAAAAACTTAGTCACTACATAAATGAAAGCAAACTGCAAAAGGATGTGGTAATTCTATTGACCAATAAAACCAATTATGCACTAAAACTGGAACGAAAAAGGGATCTGAAACAAACATAAAATCAAAGGGAACTATGAGTTTAGGCAGATATTGATTTTGGATTCTGGGGAGGGAAAGAAGTTTAACCAACAGGAAATCAAACACATATATCAATCAAGAAAGCCAGAACGTCGATGTTAAAGAATACATCATTTTCTTGGTATATAACAAGTTCAGTACACAGAAATTCACCATATAAAACTTAAATTTCAGACTTACACGGTCTTCTTCCATCTAACACAACTTGAAATGGAAGATTTTGGATTCTTGGAAGAAAAGTCAGAACGTCGGTGTTAATGTGAGAAATCTGGAAATTTTGGATTTATATTGGACTTAATTGACCCGTCCGGTTTAACCATAAAATAGGCCAGTGGTTTTCTTTAAAACCGCCGGGTTAGGCGGGCCCATCTTAGGCCAATTGCATAGTATTTTAAACGAGTCAACCGAACCAGACCATAATCCGGTTCACCGGTTTCCAGTCCGGTTCTTATAACACCAAGTTAAATGGCCATGGTTCCCCTTTTTTAATATTTTTACCTCATCAGCTTGACATTTTGGTGAAAAAAGTTTCAAGCGTGGGTGGTCCATATTTGAAAATGGAACTATTTCTTTTTACATAGTTTTGTTTCTCTTCAATAGAAATTTTGTTTTTCTATTGTCCTTTTTAAAATAAGTTCCAGTATATTTACAAACAGAAACCCTCTACTGGTGGAGAGCAAAATGGTGGAAATGGATGGTACCTGAGTTTGTATATCATCTCCAGTGACAATGTTTCCAACTGTCCGAAGGGCAGGGATAAGAACAGAAGGAGACGGGTGACTGAAATAGCAAAATATTACTTCATCAGGTGAGTGCTAAAGAAAAAGTTAAAACTTCTCTATAAAGAAACTCAATCCAAAGGCTAAATATAAATAAAACATAAATACTCACAGCAACAACTCAACCAAACGGGGACATACTCCAGAGTCGATCACGGCTTGAATTTTATCATTAGTGCCATCAGAAAGATAAGAGAGTGCCCAACATGCATCAGTCAAAACTTCTTCATCAATTGAGTGTATAAGTTGCTGAAGAATTGGAAGAGCAGGTCTTGTCTGTAAAATAAGATGATAATGTCATGACATGTGCTCTTTATTAAGGTTCAAGAACAGGTTCAAGAACAAAATTTACTTTCATTAGAACAGAAAATTTATTTATAAATTTGGATTCAACGTACGAAGGAATTCACCTTATGACCATGGAAATATTAAGGTAGAGAGAGTTTAAGTTGCTATACTGCGGATAAATTCAAAGTAGAATACATGGCTCGCATTCGAGAGTAAAAAAACCCGGCCACACCATATTTGTGACAAATGCTTAAATTTAATAGATTGTGATAAGCTGATAGCACCTATGTTTGAGCTCCATTTTTCCCAAAACTCATTTTCAACCACATGATCCCGTAAAATAATTTTACAAGTAAATTCAAAATTTTTAACCACACATTCTCCAAAGATCACTATTCCAAAACCTATTTTCCCCAAAAATGAGGATCGAACAGGACCAACTTATAAAAGATCTAGAACATGAATGAGCATTATTCCAAATTTCTTTCTTTAAAGTTTGATATTACGATATCTCAAAAATATTATAAAGGCTCAACCTTGCATTTGTAAATATGAAGAATTGCGATTATATGTGAGAACAGACAACCATCCAAGACATATGATACTTACCTGTTCAAAAGCAGGCTGTGGCTTGCCTCTGCAGAAATTCGAAAGGGTCCAGGTGGCATTTCTGAGCATAGATAGCTTGGTACGTTCATTAAGCTGAGCTAGCAAAGGAGCCAAGGCTCCATGCCCAAGCACAAGATCTCGACATTTAGGGGAGTCTCCGGCTACGTTTCCTAAGGCCCATACAGCCTATAAAACCAAAGCAGAAGAGAATAAATCAAGTGACTCTGTAAAATTCAACAATTTACAACACAGCATACTAATTATAAAAATCCAAACTAAAAGACAGCAGAACAGAAGTAACTGAAAGGCTAAAACTATTTATATAACATATTATACACCTGTTCTCGGACATCGTCACTTGCAGAACCAAGAAGTTTCACAAAAATAGGGACAGCACCATGATCAATTACCACCTTAGTGTGCTCAGATGTCCCAGAAGCAATATTTGTGAGGGCCCAAGCTGCCTCGAACTAAAGAATTTTGAACAAAACAAAAAATCTATAAGTAAGAAGACCCTATTGTGCTGGCACAGAATAATTAATGATGAATAAGATGACATTATCAGACCTGAAGCTGTGGAACATCTTCCCTCATTAAAAATTCAACAAAGCGAGGAACGACACCTGCTTGAATTACCTCCTGAATTGGAGGACTCCGTTCTGAGATAGAGAATTATTTGCAGAATAATATGAATTCCAATAACCAAACTAACTGGAAAAGAGAAGTTCAATGATAACAAGTTCTGGAAGATCCAAACAATAACCTATAGAAAGCAATTTTCGGAAATGGGTAGTTGCCTCTAGCTGTCTACTAGAATCATCAGTCCAGACACCAGCAACCATTCCTGGTAAATTTTCTAACTGCACCTGCACTCACAACAATAAGTCACAATAAGAGCTCAATCTTATATTTCTAGAAAACACGTTTACCTCATTCTATAATACGAATTTCCACTTCAAGCATTTAAAAAAAAAATTACTCAATAAATTCAAATGGATCGATGCACACAAATTCACACCAGAAACCATTAAAAGATATTCAAAGAAACATTAATCTATATACCATAATAATTATAATAAAGTAGCCAACGAAACTGCAAAACCCTAGCATCCATTGAGCGCCCAAAAAACTATAAATCATTCAATTACAATCATCTAACAATACTTACGAATACATGGAGCTTAAATCATCAATTTCAAAAGGCTTTGAACCGATATACCTTCTTATCGATGCCAGTGGTGGCTTCAGCAGGAATAGTGAACTGCGGATTCCCCTGAAGTCCTTCACGACGCTTCTTCTGTAGGCTCTCCTCCCTCCGATTCTTGCGTATCTCCACCATGTTGTCCTCCCTCCTCCGCCGTCCCTCCTCCGCGTCAACCGCCACCTTGTACCTATTCCGGCGGACCTCCACCTTGGCGTTTGGTCTCAACGACATCTTGAATCTGTGTATATGGGAAGAAAAACGGGAATGTAAATCTGTGAATTTGGGGAAAAACGAATGGCGGAGGAAGGTTTTGTGAGTGAATTTGAATGGGGAAGTGGAGTGAATGGCGTGAGGTTGACTTGAAAGGAGGTTTCTGTAGGGGGTTTCGTCGAGCCGTGGGTTAAGAAACGGGGCATGGATCAAGAAATATTTACGGAAATGGGACTAGAATTTAAATTTGAAGATGAGGGAAAACCCGAATTGTAATAAAGGATTCAAGTAGACTCTATCGAGTGCCTTGGGCTCTCACAGCTGAATCCAATTGAAGTCCAGGCCCAATATATATTGGGCATGATTTAATAGCTTAGGTGCTTGTTTGGGAGAGATTTTTTGGGGAAAAATTGATTTTGAATAGTGATATGATGGGAAATGTGTGGTTGAAAAAGAAGAAAAAATTATTGATGTGATGGAAAATATTATTTTATTGAAGAATGTGTGGTTGAAAATGAGAATTAATTTACTGTAAAAAA